ACACCTTCGCCCCCCCGCGGGGTTGAATTAGAACGTTGAAAGCCAAAGTTAAAGGTAACAGTAACAGCGTTGAAATAGACGTTGAAACATCGGCAAGTCAGCGTACAGTACGCAGCGTTGAATAGACGTTGAAAGCAAAGTCAGGTCACACGTACGCAGCGTTGAATGAAGCAGGTTGAAAGCAAAGTTTAGGCTACAGTAACATGCGTTGAATAGACGTTGAAACACAGTCAGGTACAGTACGCTAGCGTTGAATAGACGTTGAGAACAAAGTCACCGGTAAGCATGTAACCAGCTGTTGAATAGACGTTGAAACAAAGTCAGGTACAGTAACAGCGTTGAATAGACGTTGAAACAAAGTCAGGTACAGTAACAGCGTTGAATAGACGTTGAAACAAAGTCAGGTACAGTAACAGCGTTGAATAGACGTAATTTCGACGTTTCGAGCGGACGTTGTATCTTATTTAATCTTATTGATCAACGTCATGACGTAATTTCAAACAGGATTCAACGTTGCAATCGTGGGCCCGCTGGACCTCCTCTCCTGCCCCTCCCCCCTCCTGCTGCTTCTGCTCACCCTCTCCTCCTTCTCCTGCCCCTCCCCCTCCTCCTCATTCGCACCTAGCTCCTACAATTAACTCATCCCATTTCCCTACACATTCTTCCTCTCCACCACAATCCATCCCCAGAAATACTCCATCACTGGCCACCTGTTAAAATATCAACCGTTAATAAATTCATCAATAAAGATTCTTGTGAGCCAAGGCGTTACTGATCCGAAATGCGAGCATTCCCTGTGGCTGACATGCGCTGGTAAGTCGGACACGCATTGCATGCATGCGACCGACGCCGTGTCTCATGCAGAATAAATTATTTTACCCCTGGTTATATATAACTGCGGTTAAATTCTTCAACAGCTCCTGATAGGATACAAAGTCTCGTAAATAAACTCCGACCAAATTGTGTAAAACACAGTTAATAATTAGGTTGAGCTGCGGTGTATTTGTGTAACACGCAGGCTTTGATTGGCTGCAGTCTTGTAAATTTAACCGCGATTAAATCATGTAAAACACAGCTAATGATTAGCTCTACAAAGTCACGTTAATTCAACCCGGCAAAATTTATTCAGTTCTAAATACGCATGGCAAACAATAGGGGTGCGAGGTTCTGCATCGTCATCATCTCCGCCGCACCACGTCATCGTTTCATGTACTCGATCTCTCTCTAAAGAGGCGCACTATTTCGTCTCTAGAAAAGGCCTTTTTTGGCAATTTTTTTTCGCCGAAATTCGGCAGCTAGAGTGCATAATTTGCATTATATGCACGCAAGTTATAGATGGCCTCGTGGACGTCTATAGAAGCATTAGAAGTAAGATTGGTTTTGTTGTGTATTCCGTGACCCACTCCGTCATGGTGGCGTAAGCCACTGGCGATCCGGTTGGTAATTTTTGTGTTTGAAAATGTGTTTCAGACAACTTTGCAGATAATTCGCATGCAATGGAGCTGGCAAAAGTTTGCGAGCGGGAGTATAGAGCATGATCTGTAGCGTTTTTAACAATGAATACAGTGTTATCTTGTGTACGACAGTACAGTTGAGTACTTGTTAAGTTACTTTCTGTTCGATTTGCTTATTTCAGGCGCTGCGCTATGGACGCCGCTAACTCCGTTGTTCAACACGCTGCTGTACGTGCGGCGGCCGGCACAACACTGTGTTTAATTCGCGTCAATAATATGTGGTTCATGTAAACAATACAGGCGGTGCACCGACGTGTCAAACTCCACGTCAGACTGGCTGCTCTCGCTCTGGCTAATTCTAATATCCTGAGGTGCTGGGAAGGGGCGCTGCATGCAGTTTGCGACGTGTTAAAGAGTTACAATGGCGCATTGCGCGACCGATCAAACCCTGTTAATCAACAGACGAGAGGCGAGAGGACCGGAGAGAAGAGTGATAGCGGCAGAAGAGAGAGTTATTGATGACTGAGACGTGACATGTAGAGCAGAGAGAGAGAGAGAGGGTGGGAGAAAGATGGGAGACGATGGAGAAGAGGGGAAGCGAGGGAGCGAAGGAGGAAGAGAGAGAGAGAGATGGAGAGAGAGAGAGGAGAGACGAGAGAGAGGGGGGGGGGAGACAGATTAGAAGAGATGAAGATAGTTGTTGAACCGTAGTAAAAAAAGACGGTTTATATAGCATCCCTGATGAGTTCTTTTGTGTCGATTAGTAGCTTGTTTTGCTTGGCCATCAAGCTAATAATCCGCAATAGTTTTATACCATTTAACGAAGTTTATTAAGTTCACACACATCCACGCGGTAGCGAAGAGAGAGGCGCAGATGAGGTGGTATAAACATACAACAATACACAACTTGCGTTATCATTTGAGCACAGTTTACGTATAATATCGGTAATACATCAACATAGCATTTTTACGTCATGTAAGGGGGGGGTAACTGAGCGGTGAGCGGAGATGAAGTGGGTATATTAACGACTACGACTTGACGTAGAGTGTGTGGGTATTTAAAATGGTCTTCAAGTTTAAAAAACTTTAATGCAGTTGTATTTACCACTCAATTAAATAATATGATTATAAAGGTAAACAAATAAAAACATTTAGTTAAATAGATGGATAGAAAAATTGTATATTGCATAAATTTATTGAATTTGTAGGAATTTGAGAAGAGGCGTGGAGGCGGAATGGGCGGTACGCGAAAAGAGTTGCAGTAGCGGTGTTCAATGGTATAGAGAGTGGATGGTTGCGATGCGCGAAAGTCGATTGGTGGTGGCTCGACACGTACATACGAGGCAAGAGCGAGATCCTTACGGGGGAGTCTCGCAGAGAATTGATACGTAAGCATTATTATACTTAATCATATCTCGTTTTCACCTTAACAATCATCACTTATTATTATTATTCATTGATGTCACAAAACTTCTCCTCATCATGCCTGCCAACAATGATTTCGTTCATCTATTTAGAGAGCTGGTTCAGAAAGCCAACATCATGAATAAATTCATTTTTTATAATACCTTATTATGGATGCAGTCGTGAGTGGTATGCTGCCGCAGCTCAATGCCGGAGTGTGTGACAGGGCTTACTGTATAGTTGTCGGGCAACAGCTATCAAAGAAACACCGTTATTTTAAGAGCGCGAATACAGTCATTTAGGTTCCATCTACAATGCGCTCCTTAAACTTATACGAAGAGCAACAATTCAGATTGACATCGCTGGAGGAGCAAAGGAATTACACGGTTAACGTCACCGATTTTCTT